CCACGTTGCATGAGGACACAGCCTAAACCTAGGTTCAAAGCATTGTAGTAGACCACTAAGTCTTCGGTTCCCTCTGGTAAGGATAGCATTGGTGCACTACAGAGGGCTCATTTCAAGGTTTGGAAGGCAACTTTTTGTTTTTCCTTCCAGTTGAAAGATATTCCTTTTTGTGTCAAGGTGGAGAGGGGTTTGGCTATCTTGGAAAAATTATGGATAAACCTTCGGTTGTAGCCTGTGAGACCCAAGAATTGTCAAATTTATGTGGTTGTCTTCGGGATCACCCAACCTTCAATGGCCTTGATCTTAAAAGGATCTACGTGAATCCCTTCCTCACTGACTACGTGACCCAAAAAGTTTACACTGCGAATCCAGAACTCACATTTGGAGAGTTTTGCATATAATCACTCAGCTCTTGGAGTTTCCAAGATTTGATCGAGATGTTGACCATGCTCCTCTTCGCTTTGGGAGTATATAAGAATATCGTCGATGAAGACGATCATGAAATTATCAAGGAATGGGTAGCAAAATCGACTCATGAGGTCCATAAATGTTGTGGGGGAATTTGTTAGACCGAAGGGAATCACAACAAATTCGTAATGACCGTATCGAGTTTGGAAAACAGTTTTTTTGGAATATCCTCTTCTCGGACTTGAAGTTGATGATAAACGGATCTTAGATCTATTTTGGAGAAGTAAGTATCTCCTTGAAGTTGGTCAAATAGTTCATCAATCCAAGGGAGTGGGTATCAGTTTTTGATAGTGAGGTTATTCAATTTCCTATAATTGATGCACATCCTGAAAGATCCATCCTTCTTCTTGACAAACAAGACCAGAGCTCCCCAGGGTGAGAAGCTTGGTCTGATGAATCCTTTGCTCAACAATTCGCTTAGTTGACTGGATATCTCCTGTATTTCGGCAGGAGCAAACCTGTAGGGTAATTTGGCAATTAATGTGGCTCCCGGTATGAGGTCAATTCGAAATTCAACCTGTCTTTCTGGGGGTATTCCCAGAAGGTCTTTAGGAAATACATCTGGGATGTCTCATGCCACTGGGATGTGTTTGATATTTACTTCTTCTTTGGATTTATCCACAACATGAGTGAGGAAAGCATAAATTTTCTTGTGCAGGCACCTTTGTGCCTTGATGCACGAGATGAGTCGAAGATCGGCGTCGGGTTATCACCATAGATTATTAGGGTTTATTGATTGGGGAGGTGAAGACAAACGACCTTCTCGCAACACATAATATCAACATGGTGGGGGCTTAACTAATCCATGCCGATTATCACATCAAAACTCCTAATACTTACTGGAATAAAATCTATTTGAAATGAGTGATTGTTTAGTGTTAATGTTCACCCTACATAATGTCACACCCCCAAACCGTCATAAATAACGATAGAAACATCTGGGGGCGGGTGACGTCATGTGTAGTATCACAACAGTTGTATCATTGTAATCATAGTAAACACAACCAAACATTGAATACATACATGAAAAGATTTTACATTGTTGTAGTACATATTTTTTTACATAACAAAGTAAAATGAAAAGATGAGATTATATCGCGCTGACTTCTCCAAAAGCCTGGAAGTACATGTCTACAATTCCCTGAGAATACAAGCAGTTTGAAAGAATATAAGCATAAAGCTGGTGAGTTCATAAGCAATTAGTTTTTGGTGGAAAATGTTTCTTTGATCCTTTTGAAAAGTGTTCTTTTAAGAAATTCCTACATTTTCTTATGAAAGTGTTTGAATATCCGTTAGTTATTTTGTTAAACAATTCGCTTATGGAAGGTTGAGTTATCCCTGGAAATTCCTATATTTTTCTTAAAAGTTGGTGGTTGGCTAGTCTGAGGTGTACAAGTATCTACCATACTTATATCGTTAGACATAGTTTTCTTGAAAAACCATGTTTGTTCACTTAGAAGTGTATTAGCCTTATTACATAAACAAAACTAATAAATACGAGGTGAACTAAGTCATAAGAGTATTATTAACACCTTCTAATAATCTAATTGATTGTTACTTTGAGGTTAATTCGCTTGTTTCATCATTACAAAAGTAAATCTCTATTATCTAGGTTGTGAGTTTTATAACCGTACATTAACTTTATATGCCACGAATTGGGGCCAGTATTCTTTATGACTTTGTCACCCGTAGACCTATCGGTCCCACTGTAGCTAGCAGCAAGGTGCAGGATAGTCAGTCCCCTATAGATCTATACACAACAGTCATGCTCTCCCTACAAGAGATTCTGGTTACAAGGGCTAATCCTACACCCTGATTTTGAGGGGGCGTTACCAAGGACGTGTCTCCAACTTTAGACTAACAAATTTACAAGTAATGATTCTAAAAATCCTATTTATGGGTTGCATGAATCCTTTATAAATATAACAAATTTTATGAGATGATTCACAAGTTCATTGCTTTAGTTTGAAAACCGTTTCTACGAGTTGATTTCTTAATCGTTTGGTAAAACTATTTTCCGTGTTAAAAGCATACTGAACATATAATTATATTAAACAAATAATATATTTTGAGTACAAGTTTCCTTGTACTTTTGCTTGTATTCCCCCCCCCCCCTTAAAACATGAAAAACTCGGAAAAAGCGTAAGGGTATGAACTCATCTCAGACAATTCAAATGAAGGATCGATACGAAATGCGGGATGTTCAAGTGAAGCCTTGAATGTGATTTGATCCTAATTAACATGTAATTGTTGGTTTATGATCATTCTAACACTCCTAAGTGTACATGCAACCCTAAATACCTTGGATCTATGTTTTCTCTATTATACATGCAAATATCAACTTTCCAAGGTATTGTTCTATTCTAGCATACTACACGTTAAATAACACAAGTTAGAATAACATACCTTTTGTTAGTGCTTGTCTTCATGAAGCTTGAGTGCCTAGTGCCCCAAGTGTGACACCTCAAATGGTTCACACAACACCAAAGACACTTGGAATAACTTGAGAGAATTCTACACTTCATGAAATCGGCTAGCCCTTTCTTAGTCTCTCTAGTGGCCGATTTTGATCAAGAATAAGATGTTTATATAGTTATACAATTAGGGTAAACCCTAATCGTCATGACTTTCCATTTCATTGGATCCATGGGTTCAAATACACCATGGAGCATCCATGGAGCATCATATGGGGTTTGGCCCAACTAGATAATCCATGGAGCATTAGCCCACTATATAAGTATGGATGATTTGTACAATCAACCCATATATTTAATTAGTCTTCTTATGATCACTTAATTAATCCTAGATTAATTCTTGATCAATACTAATTAAATAATCTTATTATTCTTATTATTAATATACTAGAACTTATAATATATTAATAACCATAAGTGTCTTATTTCTCTCATTATAGTCTATCCAAGTGCATGATGCCATGCAATCCAAATGGACCATGCCGGTTCGGGTCAAGTCTTACCAATTATAGTTATGGACTTAGACATTAATCCAACAGTAATGACACACATAAAGGGGTCAAATGAAGGTATTTCCCTACTAAATGTGATGAAGAACCACTCTAAGAACTTGGGACTACTTACACTTAATGCTAGGACCTTAAAGGATTGCATGAGAGAGGTGTATATCCACCTTAAAGGTGTGTGCGGCCGTACACTCATGATGAAAGGTGCTTTTGAGATGTTTTCAAGGTCCATACTTGCATCCATGAAGTGTTCTAGGTCCATACTTAGTTGTAGTACAAGTTTAGGGTCTTAGAAATGGATTTGTGGTCCTAGGGTGTGTGGTTGCACATGGGAGTGTGCTGCCGCATACAAGGAGTGTGCTGCCATACAAGAGTGTGTGATGCCGCACACAAGGAGTGTGCTGCCGCACTCACTACTAGAAAAATAGCCTTTTACGACGCGCAATCAATGACACGTGCTGATAGAGGATACGCATTTGTGCGTGCCCTAAAAATTGATGTCAGTTTTCCAAAATATGAAACATAGAGGATACCCATTTTTGCGTGCCCTAAAATTAGTGTCTAATAATAAATAAATAAAAAACACGGAGGGCACCTTAAATAAAGTGTGTGTCGTCTAACCATGTCGCTTTATAAATTTTAATGAAATGCGCGTTTCATCCGACGGGGAAATGAAATCCAAAAATTAAAAAGCCCGCTTTGTTTCCACCGACTGAAAACCATAGATCATCCCCGCCGAAAACCCCCTTTATTTCTTTCTTTCTTCTCTCTTGATTCTCGAACCTCCATTCACTTTTCGCCATCTTCTGCTTATTCGACCCTTCTGAGTGTCTCCCACCGCCGTCGATTTCCAATGAAAGACGTCCGTTCTTGGTGCTCTGCCTCTATAACGATTGACAATCTCACCTGATCACCTCGCCTCACCTTGCCGACAACCTCAGGTGTAATTATCTCATGCCCACTTCTCCTTGTCGGTGACCTAAGCCCCGTTACATTGATCCATCGTCCCAAACTTTGGAAGAACTAGCGATTTTCTCCGGACCACACAAAATACTCCCTAAAATTGGACCAACACATCCAACAAATCGATTGCAAGTAACCCGCTTCATAGATGCGTCTACTTCTAAGCTTCTAGGGCTCGAATCCATATTTCCCCATGTCAACACTCCATCATCTGTTTACTTAGCTTACTAAAATCATCAATCTTGTAGATTTTAGTTACAAACACCCAATTTTCTTCATCCTTTCTTCATCTTTAATAATTCTCTTCAATCGATCGATTTAATAATTCTCTTCATCTTTTCTTATATCTAATTTTCTATTGATTTTTTTATTGAGGTTTTCAATTTCTTCAATTGGCCTTACTCTAGTGGTTTTTAGTTCATTGTCAAATCTTCATCCTTACTCAATTTCTTCTCTCCATCTTTTAATGCATGATTCCTTTTGTGGTTTGTAAATGCACATAACGTGTTCGATATATTGCCTCATTGAAATTCTTTATTTTTTTATTTAGATTTTGGTTCTGATCCTTATATTTCATGTTCGTGATCAAATGAGTAGCTTTAAGAAGGGTTTGAAATTAAACATAAAAGAAGATGGAGAATTAATCAGGTATACCCATTTTCCCCTTTTAGTTAATTATATATTTATATATGTTAGTGATTGTAGTTTTTTATATATATGAAGACAAAGTGTTTGACCACAATCGAAAGTGCTGCTAATATGTGTTCTGTCCAGTTCTCTCCTTACTCCTGTCATTTTCTGTGTTTTGGGTCTACTGATTATAGAACTTACTGTTATGATTTGAGGAATATTTCCACCCCTTTGTGTTCTTTGATTGGTCAAGACACAACTGTTAGTTTTATGAAATTATTGGATCATGGAACCCTTATTTCTGCATCAACAGACAACACATTAAAGCTTTGGGACCTCAATAAAGTAGCCCATTCTAGTTGTTCAACCACAACCAACAGTTGAATCTTGACCTTTAAAGGTCTTATTGATTTTTGTCTCAATTTTTCTTTATTTTATCTGTTTGTGATGGATACATTGAAGAAGACGATGCTTCAAAGAAGAAGTTCTAGACCTTAATTTCATAAAGGATGCAATTGGCTATGTTGCCCCTGTGGAATCTGCTAATTACCACTATTGTATAAGCTTGTTTCATTATCTTTTCTAAATACGAACACATTTTTTTTCATTAACAAAGGATACCAAAATAGGACATATGGCAAGTTAATCATGCTCTTCTGTTTTTTTTTGCTAAGTTTCTAAATGGAACCAGGTGAAGAGATAATTTAATGGAACAATCTATGTACTTGTTGGATCTTGATTATCAAAGCAAATTCAACTCATGTCTTCCAAATCTTGTTCAAACTAATTAACATGAGCTTATCAAATCTCTTATCAATTGGTTATGTGATTCACCAAGTTCTACTAAAGTAGTGTTGGGTGAATAGTTGAATGTTTGAATCACATGTTTATCATATAAATTTAGTAGTCTTTTTTTCCTATCTAGACCTCTGTCTGCACTATTAAAAAAATAAGGTGTCTAGTATTTATTTAACCTATAAACTCCAATTTGTTCATAACTTATGTTTTTTTTGGCATTATGCAGTTAATTGGCAGCTAATATGTTCTGAAACCATAGCGAAACATAGTCCCAGTTCAACTTTGTGCCAAAGAGGTTGTTGTTCCTAAAGCTCTCAAGGGTATACTAAGTTGACTTTCAAAATTTAACTTATACATATGTACTGATTCAATATCTTCAGATCTTGTATGTATGTTTCTATTTTGACATGGTTTCATATATCAAAATCTAGGTTCTTTAGCTCATAAAAAACTCATTTATGTTGCATAAATATCTTAACTTGAGAATCTTGTTTCCATGCTTAGGGATATCAAAGGAAACAAGTAAATGAGGGAAAGGTTGTAAAATGCCAGGGCTTAATAGGTTTGGTTTGGCCATCTCCTATGGAGATTTAGATTTTTATTGTAGTACATAATATCCATTATATTCTTGATTAAATGTCAGAAATTTAATAACGCATGTTATATGGTAGGTTTATTAACAACAACGTTTTGGGTTTTTCAGTTTGATTTTATTTCATATAAAAAAAAAACCAAACCTAAAAATCATGTTCTGGTGACAATAACTTCAAAGTGCTCATCACTTAAATCATCATCTCATCCCTTAGAAGACATTTAAGTAATTTTCCTTTGGAGAGGAAATAGCTGTGCTGAAAGATTAGTGCAATTCCCTCCTACACCTCCATCAGCCCTCATAGGAGGCTACGAAGATCGTTGTGCTGGACTATTCCAATTTCTTTACCTCCCAATTGTTGCTTCTTCCACACTTGATCAAATGAAGGTCTTTAGAGGCCCTGAAATTACTTGCTAATTGATATATCAATTTCATAATCTTATTAATGCAGAAAGTATTGCACATTAGTTATTATAATTATACTAATTAAATTTAATGAATAGATACAATGTCTGTTGGTTGCAGTCAATTTACTTTTATACCCCTTTACAGTTTATTGCTGCAACTAGTTTTCAAATAATCCCTGCTGATACCCAATATCATGTGAGTATCTTTTTCCCAGTTGAAGTGATACAATTTTAGCATACAACAACTTACATGCATCTGTTTTCATTATATAACATCATAGTTCCATATTTCTGTATTACAAGGATGTATTTTTTTTCAAGAAGTAAGAAGAAAGTAACTGAGTTGTGTTTCTGGCCACCACTCTAATCTTAATGGTAGCAGCTGATGCCTTCATAACTATACTAACAATAATAGCCTCTAACCACTCTAAATTTTATGCTACGGACTGATTGTTTAGAAGGATCCAGAATCTGTCAAAGGAATTGGAATTTGAAGGAATTAAATCTATTCCGCCTTTGGTTGGCAGAAATGGGAAGAATTTCAATTTCATTTTTTTTATGTTTCTGTTTTGTTTGTTGTATCTTTTGTCAATTGATTTGGGATTTAAAATGTGACTTTGACAACATTACCATTTTCTAACTTTTCATAAATAAAAAACTTTAATAAACATGAAAAGAGATATCTAAGTTAAAGTTGGTAGATTGATACAACAACATTTTCTTTTGGTTTGTATAAGAATTAATTTGTCGTGATTTTTTCTTACCATTTATGTGTTCATTTCAAAATTTGCAGCTGCTGCAACAGCTCCTATTCCTTCAGCAGGTAATAATCATTTCAATGTATTTCGTCCTCCTTTCCTCTCCCAAAGTGAAAAAGTTTAAACATCATTTATCCGGACCGGACACACACACAGTTGATGGGAAAATACGAAACTAGTTGCTTCTTTATCCTTTTTCTTTTTGGTTATTTTTAGTGGTCAATTTCATTCCCTTATTGTGTGTCTAGTCAACACTCTAGTAACACTTGGTAGAGAATGGTTGGAGGATTGTAGTGTTAAGTATGATTAGTTGGGTGGGGTTTTGCTGGTTGGTAAATTTGTTGATTGTATCTAGCAGGTTTTAAGTGGTTTGTTTGTTCCTTTTGTTTCAGACAGAAGTGCAACTTAATTTCCAGAAAAGAAGGGGCCATGGAATCTTTTCTTTGTTACATCCAAGGTTCAGCGGTGTGTTAGGCGAAGGTCTAGACTTGGCTGCTAGATGGAGCAGGGATGTGGTTAGTAGTTGAATTAAATCAGATGTTTTGTTTCAAATAATAGTTATATATTTAGTTTTCCCTTTGATAGTTTAATGTTAGTTTTGTTCAGATAACTGTTGAGAAGGTTGTTTTGGAACAAAGCAATAGCCGGTATGAGCTTCAAGGCGAATATGTGTTGCCCGGGTCACGGGCTGGAAAAGAAACAGGAAAAGGGAACTTACTAAGAAGAGCAATGACTGGTCATTTAGGGAGTGTGATATCTTCTATGGGTCGCTAGAGAATGAGGCTTGAGGTTCCACGTGCTGAAATTGATGAGATGCTTCCACTTAATAGGCTTGTTTCCCGAAGTACCGATCCAGCTCTTCAGTTTAGATCAAATGTCATCCTCATTCATTCATTCATTTATTAAGTTTTAGTCTATCATCCAAACCCAAAAAGCTCTCATCTAAGTCTAATGTATTCTATGTGCAAAACACATGAGAATGAATGAATGAATGCGCTCTACCAAAATATAGCAAACACAACCAATTCTAATCTTGTTCATATACCATAAGAGAGTAAAGTAAAGCAGGTTGCATTCCCATACATCGGTTTGGTAAACAGAGTAAATAAAGTAGGTTGCTATTTGTAGCAAAGCTCTATCTAGTCTAGGGGTATATAAATATTATATGATTTTAGTTGATGTTGTTCCCCATTACCTTAATGTTGATCTTGCATTGGGAGATATACGTGTTGCAAAGTGTATCAAGTCTGACTACCCATGTGTCCCATTGGAGGAAGCTCAAGGTTCTTTACTTCTCTTACACTGTAATAATCCATCTTCACACCTATTTTGTAATTATGTTTCTTTTTTTTGCAGGCAATATAGATACTTTCAGCAAGTTCATACATTTAGAGTCCTTGAGCGTTGTTACTATGGAAGAGTGGAGACAAGTGAGCCACACATTTAAAAAAATCAGCACAAATCTTGTTTACAGTGAGGCACACATTAGGTTATTAGAATTATTAGTTTGTAAATTTCTGTTACAACTTCTATTGATTTGTTTTATCTTTCCATGGAACGATTATTTGTATGACATTTGTGACAACTGTCAATTCAGGTCATTCTCGGACTCATGCATCTTTATAAAAAAAAACCATTCATGCACAACATGCCATGGCCTAGTAGTAAAGATTAGGTCAAAATCTTACATAAACTAGGATCCAACTAAGATTTAGGACTAATATACTTGACACTTACGATTCTAGTAAGTTGCTTAACTATAATAGGAAATTTCAATGCTATAATTAGAATGAAACTTCAAACTTTGTTACAATTGAAAAAGGGTGTAAAACCCTAAAAATAAATTAAAATATTCTAATTATATTTCAATATGATGGTGAATATCAAACAATATTCCAAAAACCCTAAAGAGCCAAAAATCCAAATTTATAAATCTTAAAGCTTAAAAAGCTTATAAAATTTGGCTATAAACTTCCTAATATCAAATTTTTATTAATCAAATTATGGATTATATCCATAAAATAGAAATTTAAATTATTATACATTCATCATAATTTATTAGATAAAAACAAGATCTTTAAATAAATAGAGAATTACATAAAGATTCATTTTTATAAAAATTATGGTTTTATAAAAATTGAAGAGGGAAATTATTTAATTTGAATTAGGAGAGAGAGAGCACTTTAATACCCTCAAAAATCCATCACCCCCTCTCCCCCATGCTTTCATCTTCCTAAAAATTCAATCATTAAACTCAAACCCTCACTCTTCCACTTCTCTCTTCACTTTCTCTCACACTCCACCCATCTAACACTCAAGCTCTCTTCCTCTCTCTCTAACTCACAAAAATCCTCCATTCTCTGCCATAATTTCGAAATGAAGAAGGCCTAAAAGTGTTCTTGCTTCTCTCAAGATCAAAACCAAGGTAAACAACACAATCCTCCCTCATAGTTTCATGATTTTGCATCCTCTTCTTCATGGTTCTTCTCTACTCTTCGGATTCTATGCCCTTCTATGGCTAGAAATCCTTAATTTTTCCCTTGTGGTTTGTAGATTCTCACCATAACACGATGCATGTGTTTGAGATGGTGAAAATCCAGGATCAAACCCATGCAAGGAGTGAAAAAGATGCACATGTGTTCATGTGACTTCAAAACCGAGTATTACATCTTCTTCTCCATTTATTTTGTGTTCTTGCATGACCAAAAACATTTAAACCATTTCTAGTACATCTTGGACGCTCATTCACTCCATGCATGTGCTAGAAATCGGACCATAACAGAAGCATGCATGTTGTTCTTGTCAAAATGCCCTAAGAATGCACTCAAAGCAAACAGGGAAGACATGCAATCTGCCAGACTAGTTTGTTCAGCTTTGAACGGCCATAACTCGGTCATTACTGAACCAAATCCTGATATTCTTTTTGTATTGGATAGTTCCACGAGTTAACTTTCAAACCCAACTGGTCTCACTGTAAAATATTAAATATCGGATTTTTGGCAATTTTTACAAAATGGTTGCGCGAACAGCTTTTTTTCTGTGATCACCATTTTTGCCTTGCGTGATCAGTCGCCTTAAACCCAACCATAAATCAGGGGAAAAATAATTTAGAAATTTAACATACCCAGTCAATGATGGCTGAAATTTCGTGGCTTAAAACCCCACAGAATGTGCTACTCAAATTCATGAACTTCATACATTCTTAACTTGTTTGGGTTCAATACCCCTATTTTCTCTTCTGAATGAATTTTGAACATTTTTCCTTTTGAAAGCCCTCACATGCATGTGATAATCTGTAAAATACCAAGAGGTTTTATCATTTCTTTGATTTATTAAAATTATTGCAAGAAAACAAGGGCATAAATCACATCAAATACTTCCAGAGGTCTATAAATCCGGAATAAAATTGTGGATGACCCCTATGGTGAATAATGACCCCTCATTAAATTTCTTCGATTTTTGTCGTTGTTTGGTATGATTTCCGATTTTCTTTTTGTTTGGGTATAATAAATCACAAAACCACTTTAGAGAGTGTGAAAATTGTATCTAACAATTTTCGCAACCCTTACCTATGGTGAGTGACTCAGAAAAATATTTTAAAATTTTTTCATCATGCCTTACTATTTTTCCCAGTTTTTGGTAATTATAATGACCTAAAAATAGGAAAAATAGTTCTGTATATCCAAAATTCATGAAATTTATCAGAACATGATATTGTACAGTAGGAGGTTACATAAAAACTTTGATGATTTTTCTCTACTGTAAACTATTTTTCTCCTATTTTCTAAAGTTAAATACACTTAAATACACCTAAATACGCATAAATACCCAAAACTGGATTATACAGTATGAAAACCACTTTTGGTATTTTTCCCTGATTAATTACACTCTAAATGATGTTACAAAAAATTTTGGTAATTTATTTTAACTGTTTAATATTTATTCTTCAATTAATGATTATTTAAAGGAATAAAACAAGGAAAAATAGAAATACCCACTGCAAAAATATCTTTTATATTTTTCCCAGCCTACTTACGTATAATAACAGTTAAATAAAAAGTTTTGGTAATTTTGGAAACTGTTTTCTATTTATTTCAATTTTTATTGGAATAAATGATCAAAAATAATATAATATAATTAAATAGCTTGGAAATCCATTTTTATATTTTTCCCAGCTTAGTATTGTGTAATAACAGTTAAATAAAAAGTTCGAGAATTTTTATCCTTTGAATGCCATTTTTCGTGAATTTATGTTGTTATAAAGACTTAGAAATTTGAAAAAGTGTAACCAATTAATATAAAATCCAATACTAAAACATAAATTGGCGTTTCACTATAAGTAGAGTTTAGTATATTAACATTAGATTTCGACATGGAAACTCACTAGTGTGTTTGATGTCGTAGGATCCCGATAGTAATTGACTCGTATAAACTTGATTACTATATTTTGCACATCGTGAGTATTCACACACTCCCCTATTTTCAGTTTTTATGTTTTGGGGTGGAAAAGCATGTCCAGAAAAACTATTATTTGCATGTTGTATTTAGATTGATTTGTATCAAACATGATTGCTATTGTATTGCTATGTATCTCTATGTATGTCTATGCAACACGGAACATGAGAACTTATCGTACTAAGGCCCTTCCCTTATCTCTAACCATTAACTCTTTGAGCCAATGGTTATTGTGGATAGCACTATTAGGAATTGACAACTCCTCACTCTCCTTATTGCTGGAGTGCGTGATACCATATTCATCTATGGAATGATAAGCATAGATCTCGATAGGGCTTAAGTCATAGGTTTGGTTGTGACTCATTGTTTGCTCATACACATACAAACTCGTTTCTCGTTATAGCAATAAACTTGTATTCATTAATAGCAATCAACTTTGTTTCTCATTAAAGCAATGTACTTGTATTTACGAAAAGCCTTATTTCAAGCTCGATTTATAAACTTGTGAACTCACCAACTATTTTCATAGTTGACGCTCGTTTTACATGCTTTTTCAGGAAATAATTAGTAAGTGGATATAAAGATTCATCATCATAGAGCATGCTGCATCGTGTTGAAGTTATTTATGAAGTTATCTTTGAACAGTGTTATTTTGGAAAAACTTGAATTTTGTTTCTTTTGAGGCTATGGGTTGTAAACTTTTAAATACTGCTATGGTGATGTATCTTTATCTTTTGCAATGAAACTGTTATTGTTGTCATATCTTGCGTTTCCGCTTTAGCGAGGTGTGACAGAAGAGGTATCAGAGCTAAAGTTATAGAGAACTTCGGTTTTTTCTTTAAGAAAACACAACCTATAACTAAAACTTACAAAGAAATTCTTTTTACATCAAACATATTACTAGTATAATTAGGTCGGGAGTTGTATCATTGGACCTCGATTAAACATAGCCTGATCACCTATGTTTAATTAAGGAAGGATTTATACAAAGCCGGAGCTAATTAGAATGGGAAAATGTTTAACAAAACTATTTGAGAAAACTTTATTTCAAAAAATTCAAAAGGTTAATTTTGGTGTGTGTAAGCATTGCATATTATAGGCATGCATTGTCATTTATTTCATATCTCATTGAAACTATCTCATTCCACTATGTCAACATCGTCATCTTCTCGCGCTACCGCCTCAGCCGATGAGTCCAGCTACGTCACTATTATCCCTCGATGTAATCCCCCCGCCTCGGTAGAAGAAGACCCATCAGAGGACACGGAAGATACAGGGAACTCGGTGTAGATCAACAATGACAACGCCCCGAGTCACCG